CCCCAAAACCCCAAAACCCCAAAACCCCACATGTCTTAATCATGCATTGATTGATATATTAGAATTTAGTAAAGATGAGATGAATATATGTATGAATAAATTATTCTCTGCAGATTTAATTAAGATTCATGATCTTTTAGCTTTTTTACTACCTTAGCTGCTTGCCTTTTTCTCTGAAGGTTGTTAGTTTTATTATTCTCTAGATTCTCTTTAGCTCTTAGCCATTCTCCATAGAATGAAGGGTATACCTACTGTAATCGATGAGAATAAAGCGAACAACATCCATAAGTTCTAAAAAAATCAACTCAAAGTATGTATACATTATTCCATTCATGATTTAAAATATACTCTCTCTTTGTCTGAATCTCAACTTGCTTTGGTTTATTACTTGTAACACCTTGATATCTGACTGGAGAGTCTCCTTATTCAAGCTAATATGAATAAGTTGCTGGTCGGAATACATGGTCTCCTTCGTTCTTAGGCAAAACCTAGACTTCTCTAACAACTTTTTCTTTACTATTTAAATTAAAATAATATATTCACTCTCTTACCCTGGTAGATGATTAACCGATACTCTAATTTTTCTGAAGGATTTGTCTAATTGATCGAAATTTGTTTCATTTGAAAAATGATTATCAGTCAATTCAATATTGAAAACATCTCTAATTGTAATAAGCTTCAATAAATTAAATCATTACTTTCCATAATTGTTGTAGAATGTGTACTTAACTGTAAGTGGGATGCCTTCTGCTACTTTTGTTGAGTCTACCTCTCTGTCGACAATAAGATTTGAATTAATAAAACTCAAAGATATAATTAAGAGTGTTGCTGCTTATAAAGTTTTCATTTCTTGATAATTAAAATAATATACAATAATTGCTTAATTTAATAATACTTAAAAATACATGGATCCTTTCAAAAGAACTTAAGCCTAGAGAGAATAGTAATCATAAGAGGGGGCTAAGAAACAGAAGTAATAATTGTACTAAAAAAAATCAAGGGAGGAAATCAGAGTAGAATTATCTAGAATGGTAACCAAGTTTAAACTGAGATCTATAAATGTTTTGAGAACTTTAGATGCTAATTTCTTTGCTCGATTTGCCGTTTTTATTGGACTTTTATATTACCTTAGTAGGTTTTCTAAGCAATTTGAAGCAAGTAAATAGTATTTAGCTGAGCCTGACAGGAATTCTCCAAACAGATTTTCTAAGACATTTGGTACAGAGAAAGAAATAGATTAAATTTTGGAATAAATGAGAAATGAGGAAAAAGAATAAAATACTATAAATAAGGAAAATATCAAGTTATTGTGAATTATAAATATTAGCCATGTAAAATAATTGATTAAAAATTACCAGTCAATTAGATCTGGGTAAATGCTGTTATCTGGGGTTTTGGGGTTTTGGGGTTTTGGGG